CTGTAAACCCACTTCCGCTTTGCAATGTTTATGGAGTACGCCCTCTTGCAGATGTTAGTCTAGCGCCTCATGTTACACAGTATTGAATGGAATACGGGAAATAGTGCAGAAAATTAGTCAGTAGGCCTACGATACGCATTAGTGGATGTATGCGGGATCGACACTGGAACTCGTGGAAGATACAAGTAGATCTGTGACACTAATACAGTAATCGCCTGGAACAGTTGCAAAAAAAAGCTCCCCCTAGCGGGAGAACTTTGCAAGGTCATGGCGTATCCTCGTGGTTGCCCCTTCCTGTTTGGTGGCGTAGCGCTCTTGATGTCAACACTGGTCATGCTGGTCAGTGTCGCCCAAGGAACTTACGACCCGTTTGAACCATGTAAATATTATTCGCCTAGCCTGTGCCATTGTATGAATTGTGATGAAGCTAGCCCCACAAATAGGGCTGTAGTGGCTCTCTTTTCCCTATGTCTCTTATCTGTCGCCACCACAATATGTTCAAGGCATGTCTTAAATGCTTAAAATCCAAACTGCAGGAATGTCACAAACTTTGAATCCTAATACTAGTAATAGGCCTATCCTCCGAAATGAGAATGAGTTGACAGAAACCAGGCCTGTAGTATTACATGCTGACCATGGGCGACGCCATTTTAAAAAACAAAGGCAGCGCTCCGTGCGTCAGATTTCAAGGCACCCGACAGGCGCGCCTGTAATACTTTGTACCATACAAAACTGGTTCCGCGTCATACCTTGCATGACAGACGAACAAGGAACCGGTGAAATTGAATTTGAAAAACATTAATATGCATGTACTGTATCATGCTCCACACACGTGCTGTGGGTGTACTGTACACTAGCAAAGTGCTCGCGCAACTTATTACTAAGCAATACTGTGACAACATGAATTACATGTATGCATCTACAGCACCTGTCAGGTGCCTTGACTTCTGACGCACGAAGCGCTGCCTTCATATTTCAAAATGGCGCCGCCCATGGTCAGCATGTAATACTACAGGTCTGGTTTTACAAGGCCCCATACATCGGAAAATTTACAATTTTAGAAAGCTTAAGGGTGCTCGTGTGAAAGTCCAAACTCTGAGGAATACGCCAGTGTAAGTAAAATTGTTGAGTCATTCCCATTTCGGAAGATATTAGGATTTAAAGGCATTTAAGACATGCCTTGAAGTAGGGCTGTGGTGGCGACAGATAAGAG